CGTATTCAGAAAGGCACGGAAAACAAATAACGTTTGCTAACGGTTGCCTGTTACATTACAGTACATACTGTAAAAGTTCACTTACCACATAAACAGAGTAAGGAGAGATGACTGTGGACGATAGCGAATGATTTGCAGATCCTCAGCACCACTGACAAACATCTAATCTTGTAAAATGTGTGGTAAGTACTGCCACTCCATAGTATAAGCAAAGTACATGCGATCGCGAATCTCAAAAGTGAAAGTGAAACTTAAAAAAGCGATCGTGCATTCAAAAGCAGTTTCAATGCCAGGCATAAGCGGCTACCTGATGCCCGCAATTTATATACAGTGTAATTGCCCAATGATATAACTGCGAGTGAAAGTATTGAAATATATATTTTCATCCCATCTTGTATTTATTCCCTTTATGAGTTCTGTAGTACACGTAATTTTCTTTCCGAACACAGTAGGCTATTGGGATCACGATGTCGGCTCAACATCATGATGTCTAACAGCCATCGGCGATGGACTATGGCATCGTCTATCGGCCCAACCCTAAAAGTCAGAATTGCGAGATATAAACTGGCAATTCTGACTTTATTTCTCAGATTGCGTGATTTTTTCTCAGAACTGCGAGTTATTAAGTCATTGCGAGGAAAAAGTCAGAATTGTGGGATATAAACTCGCAATTGCAAGAAATAAATTCAGAATAAACTTCTCAGAATTGCGTGTTTATATCTCGCAATTGTAACTTTTTCAGAATTGCAAGGTTATATCTCACAATTCTGAGAAAAAAAGTCAGAATTGCTAGTTTGTATCATGCAATTCTGAACGATTTGTATCACGAATGGCAAGATGTTAACTCACAATTGCGAGAAAAACGTTGCAATTACCTAGCAGTATAGCATTATATAGACTCCTAACAAAAGCAGGTCTTGGTAAAAGTTGCTAGAAAAGGATTCATAAACAGATTGTTATATAAAGCTGACCTGTGGTCAAAGACAACGTGAAAAACAGATGTTTTTAAACTGGCATCAGGCAGACCACCAAAAACTGAGAGATTCTTCAATGAAAGCTTATCGCTATTGAATCACACTTGAGTCAGGACGAATGCCTTTCTAGAAAACCTCCCAGAGGAAGTCTTGTCTGGGAAGAGCAGAGGCTCAGATCCAGGATGGGAGAGCGTGGGACTAAGAGGACAGCGCTGACCCGTGTTCCTGACCCAGTCCAGCTGAGCTCCACAGGGAAACCTATGGATGTTGCCTAGGATTCAGAACCAGCCCTGTTTACCCAGACACCAGAGGGACAGCTGTACCCCAGGGAGCGCTGAGCCTGAAAGTATCATAGTAGCACTGTCGTCCCTACGGACGCAACTGAACACTGGGGCACACTAAAACACTGACATTCAGATTGCACACCACATTAAATGGTAGTACTATAAGGGTCACAAATCCACGTGAGAATATGTTGTGAGAATAGTCAAAGAAAAATGTTGAAAGGAATGGACGTTAAAAGTCTCCAAAACACTTTATATTAATGTTACAGTATCAGCCGATCTTTCTCTCGATCATTTCAATGCCAACAACATCTTTTATTTGGCAACATACTACCTCAGTCCACTCACATTTCCTTTTCTGGTGGTAGATGTGAGGCCCTGTGTACTGAACTCAAAACACATCCGCCACCCATACACCAGGTTATTGTGTGAATAAGCAACAGAAATCTGCACTGGTCGCACCAAGTTGTGTGGTGAACGGACGGAAGGGGTTAAGGAGCTGTGTTGACGCCCTTTTCAGCTCATTAACCCTTGCCCAGCATGTGCTGCGGTAGGTAATGCATCACAGATGTGTTGAGAGAGCTGTAAACAGTTCCTCCAGGGTATACATTAGGATGAGACTCCAGTAAAGCAGGATGATCATCCTCTGCTGCCCAAACAACTCCTACTGCACTCTTAAACCAATAGAGAACCAAGAGCAATCCCCTGCAGACTACTCATACTAGCACACCCAGTGCTCATTTACTCAATATTAAATGCTACAATAGCTTTCAAAAGCTAGGGAAATTTTCATTATTAAAAACATGTTTATATTACAAAAACGCTGCACATTTTTCCGATGACGTCCTATTAGATTATCATAATAAACTAATTAACTTGAGCACACAATAATTAATCAGGGTTTCTGCAGGTTTTCTGAAGGTAAATTTTAGACTTTTAAAGACCTTTCTAAGACCAAGTAAAG